AAAAAATAGCCAGGCGTTGTGCTGGGCGCCTGTAGTCCCAGCTACTTTGGAGGATGAAGCAAGATAATCTCCTAAATCCAGGAGTTGGAGATCGCTACGAGTTGTGACGCCACGGCACTCTACCGGAGGCGATAAAGTGAGACTCTGTCTCAAAGAAAAAAAAAAACAAGGGCTGTGCTTGTGGCTCAAGGAGTAGGGCACTAGCCCTATATACCAGAGGTGGCGGGTTCAAGCCCACCTCCAGCCAAAAACTGCAACAACAACAAAAAGTTACTGAGAACCATCATCCCCCAACCCCCACACAAAGAACTTTTGTTTCTGCAGGTTTTATTAATATTTAATTAGAATTAAAACAAAATTTGAAGATGTTGATTTTAAATAATACGTTACCTGTTAAATAACATTTTTAAATAAATAACTTTTAAAATTAAATTTAGTGGAAAAAGTTTCTAATGTCTGACTTGATAGACAAGAACTGGAGTTTTTCACACAGCTCTGAAAAACTTCACTGCATTCCTTGAAAGAATGAGCATGAAAAAGGCAAATAACCCGTTATTCTTAAAAAAGAAAACAGTTTTGACCTCATAGACCCCTGAAATGGGTCTCCAGGAAATCTATCTCCCACTCTGATGTGTTCCTTCCCACACCACACTTTAAGACCTGCTGACAGAGAGGAATAGTTAATATTTGGAATAATGGGTTTAATAAAAGTCAACTATAATAATTGTTCATATTTTTTAGCATTTTACCATGTGTATGGTTCAAAGTGCTTTACATTTATGTAAGTCACATAAACTTATGTAATTTTCATAATGCCTTATTGAAGTACTATTTTAACCTTGCATTACAGTTGAAGAAATTGAGGCATGGAGTTATCATCAAAGCCAAGATGATGTTGAATTAGATGACATCAGTTCCAAAATTATGTAGTTAACTCTGGTGTAGGGACAGAAAGATGTGATACCTTGTCCCACCCATTATAAAGTTCACAATCAACACTCCTATATATAACAAAGACAGGTCAACAAGAGAAAAGCCTAACAGATTTTTTAAACAAAGCTTTACATGACATGAGAGCCTTCAAAAATGAAGACCCAAAAACCCTGTTTTGGAGTAGAGGAATTCTGGTTTCTATGAGTTGCTTCAAAGAGCAGTGGGAGATAGGACAGGAGATGAGAAAGAGAACCTTTCCACTTTTCTTCAGTTCAAACTACTCAGCATGCCAAGGTGCCATACTTAGGGGTATCATGTTCGGAGCCGCAACACTAAATTTGCATAGAGAGGCTCCACTATAGTAGAATAAGAGTCTTAGCCTAGAACTAAAATCTTCAGTACAGCATATGAGTCACTGAAAATTTAACCAGAGCCTCCACAGTTAGAGTGTCAATCCCCAGTCCTCTTCAGGTCTACTCTTTAGATTACATTTGTGGACACTTGTGCAGGCAAAGTTCCACATTAAACCCATAAAAATATGGCCAAACTCTTGTGCTGCCTTGCATTAGAATGCTTCACAGGAAGAACATTCCAACAATCTCAAAGTAATTAAGTCCAAAGTTGGCCTAAATTTTGAGTTAACATAATGAAAGAATTGACAACAGTGGGGGCAGGGAGAACTGAGTCAAGGTGGCTTTTGGAGAATTCTCTCTTCGGTCTCTTTTTCTTCCCAGCTCTCTCTCAGGTACTCATATTTTCCCTGCTTCTCTTCTGTTTCCCCTCCCTTTTCTTCTTTCACTGCCTTTTTTTCCTCATCTCTTGAATGTTTTGCCACTTGGCCCACCACCATCCTCTTCTCCCTGGTTTTACCATGATTAACCAAATGAGTTTATTTAGACTAGACAGGACTTCTTGACCATGAGCATTGAAGGCACTAGGAGGTGTTGGAAAGGGAATTGTGTTTTATTGTGGCAAAAAGGCAGAAGAATGGAATACAACGATGAAAAGATGCATTCAAGTCCAAATACAATGATTGTTAAAAATATCTTTTTAACGATACAGCCTTTTTAAAGGCTAGAAGGTGAGAATTAGTGCCCACCCAAAAGCGTGTTAAATTCAGCCTAAAATTGCCTCTGTACATATTTTACATTTGGTCTAAAGATTTCTCCAGGCATAAGGAACTATAACCTACTGTTGTCACAAACAGCCTTGTTTTAGCCAATCACATTGAGGCAGTGGGAGGAGAAAGGTTTTATAACCATTCATGAAAGCAAGACTAAGAAAATATCTGATTGGTTAAAGTAGAACAGTAATCATGAAGTCCCTAACGAGAGGTAAGTTGGCAATTTCTGATTGATTCAGCTTAAGTTTTATTGTCCTAAGATATGATCAATTCTTGCTAACTTGGGTTTCGATTTGATTATGTAGGACCCAAAGGTACTGGAGCCGTCTCAGTCTAATGGCCTCCCAAATAATTATTTTAACATTGCATTATTGTATATATATTTCCTCATGTACATATGTATGTACATACATGTATACATACACACACAATATTTGGAAGGTTAACAGCAATACAAATCATGGGTAAAACAAAGGGCATGTTAGGATAACAACAATAGCAAAAACCCCACCAGACTGTTCAGTAAAATAAACAGATAAAGTTAAGAAAACTTAAGAAAAAACAAAGTTAAGTTTCTGTTAAGAAAAATAAACAGATAAAGTATCATGAGTTTGGCGAAACCTTGGAATGCAAGAATAGATTCACCACTTAAAGGTCAACTCATTAGAAGGGTATGATAAAAAGAGAAAAGAAACAATAGATAAGGAAAAGTTTAATCTTAGTTCAGTGTTTAAAGAAATCATTTAGGTAGTAGTTACCAACCTTTTCCCCGCTTTGATGGAAATGATATTAGCGATGAGGCTGTCCATAACTGGGCTCCTTCGCCTCTCTGCGCCTCCATTCCATAACACCTCCCCCTCCTCTCTGCACTCCAGCCACACAGGTGTGTCTACAGCTCTTCCACAATTCTTCCAGAAAAGCTTTTCTCACCTCCCTTCAAATCCCAGCCTCACTTCTTTATGGATGCCTTCCCCCCC